GTCCACCAGCCCTCCCTGATTAGTCCCAAACCCAAGGGCTCTGAGAGGTCCCCTTTAGGTTTCTGGGAAAGAAGCTACGCTTCTCCCTTCTTCTCTGTTGCCTCCTCTCCCCCTCCTGGTGGCCTGGGGCACAGGGGCAGGCCACGCCCAGCGGTCTGGGGCCAGAGCTGTGGCTGACCCCAGTGTGGATGCCAGAGCTGTTGCTCTGAGTAACCTGGGGCCGGGTATTACCAGTTGAGCCTGGGAAATTCCTCGAGCTTCGGGAAGCCCAGCCCTGGGCATCCTACAGGGCTCAGCCAGAGCCCGCTGGAATCTTCCCACTTCGCTGCCCAGGTCTTTCTGTGGGAGAGATTTGCAGCAGATCTCTGAACTGACAGGAATCTAGCATCACCAGACGCAGAGAGGGTAGATGGCTCTGCAGACTGTTGTCATCAATTTCTGTCCCTCGCCTTCCCTGGGAGACCTAAACCAGGGCCCTGCCTCCTCACCTTCAACCATTTCTCCAGCTCTGAGTCAAAAGGCCCAGAGGCTATGGTGGGTCCAGAGAGAGGACAGGCTCCCGGCTGAATCTCAGGCAGTGGATCCATCTCACACTCTCCCCGTCTTTCAGCAGACCCAGGGCACGTTTGATTGTCAGACTCACTGCACATTTGGGGTCTAAAGCCAGGAAGGGCAAGGAATTTGCAGCCCAAGGTTAGAGGCACAATTTGAATTCAGGTCTCTTGACTCTCAGGATTATCAGTTTTATGTTCCAAATTAGTGCATGGCTGCAGGGACCCAGCATCCCCAACAGAGGACAGGTTAGGTCAAAGGCTGACTGTCATCACGTTGGACCCACAGGGTGCCCGGATCAGAGGTGAGTGAGACGCTCTGGCTGCAATGGGGAACAAAGGCTCCCGATCACCGGATGGCTGTGATGCCAAATGACATGCTACTGACCACGCCCCCTTGTTGCGGACGTGGCTTCTGCATGTGGGCAATGTAGAGGAGGTCACCTCCGAGGGATCCCTTAGTTGTCTTGTCATCAGACATGGGGGCCAGGTGTCTGGGTGTGGCAGGAGAACCTGGGCACGGCTGAGTAGGCTACAGCTGGGGCTCGCACAGTTCCCATACCTGAAGGTGGCCTCGGTGTGGCTGTAGCTGGTGGGATCCAAGACTAAGTCCCGAGGTGGTCTCAGTCTAGTGTTGTAGGTTCCCAGATAACATGTAAACGCCCCATGGCAAAGGTACCTTGGAGAGATGTGGCTCTCCCAGGAGTCATAGAGAGGACTTCCTTACAACCAGGTGCAGGAAAAGCACAACCAGAATCCCAGAACTTTGGGAGGCCAAGCTTGGGGTTAAGAGACCACCCTTGGCAACACAGCAAGACCCTGTCTCTACAAAATATTTCTTTAAATTAGCTGGATGTGATGGCAGGTGCTTGTAGTCCCAGCTACTAGAGAAGCTGGGGTAGGAGGATCACTTGAGCCCAGGAAATTGAGATACAATGAACCATGATCCTGCCACTGCACTTCAGCCTGGGCAACAGAGGGAGACGCTGCCTGGGATAGGGAGTTCCCCATCTCTGCAGATATGTAAGTGCAGTCCAGAAAGCAATTTGTTATCATTCAGCCATGCATGGCAAGTTGGCTTAAATCATAACCCAAAAAGTTTTTTCAGATCCTTGGATTCTATGACTGCATCAGGGACTTGATGTTCAGAGAAAACAAACAGCTTCTGCAAGGGATGGAAGAGCAGCAAAGTGCTCTGCCAGGGAGGGGTCTGGGGTGAGAATGTGGGAACTGCCCCTCCTCACCCCAGTTGTGAAACATCCGGTTGCCCCAGCCAGGCTGCTTTCCCCTCCTTACTCTGTTGGAAGCAATCTCACCTTCTCTCTGAGGAGGACTCAGGTGGAGTCCGGAAGTCTGGGGTTTGGGGCTGATCAGGTGGATGAAAAACTAAAGTTAGAGCTTCCAGTCCCCAGTTTTCTCCCAACTTCCTCTGACCTCTGCCCCTGACATCTGCCTCTGGGCTTCATCTGCTCTCCAGCCACTACTGGGGCAACACAGAGGAAGGAGGTTTTCATTCTCAAGGCTGTTAGTGCAGTTAGCATGTGGCGCACATCTTCAAGGGCTCCAGGCTGTGTGCACTAGCCCTCTCCTGCCCAGCCCATCAACCTAAGGATCCCTGCATCCCTCAAGAGGAAGTCCCAAGTGGGCAGGGCACCTGGAGACCTGGGTCATGGGCAGGTCCTGCTGCTAGCACGACAGACTATTTTCCATGCCAAGTGTTTTCTGCTTCCAGCTGACAGCAGTGGAAGGCAGGAATCCCATGGGTAACACTTTTATGGTCTTCACCTGGACTGGAGAGGTCCTTTCTCTGCCAAGGATTTTCTAGAAAGCCAGAGAGGAAAGGCAGGCATACTCTTCCTGTCCACTGGGGTCTGGGAAGCAGTGCGGCAGAACAAAGCCCCTCACATTCCCATCCCCCACTCCCAAGCCAAGGGTTGAGCTAGGACAGTTGATGACTCCGGGCTCTCCCACTCCCCAGGTGACTCTAGGCAAGGTGTTGAATTCTTATAGCTCAACTTTCTTTTTCTACAGCATGGGAATACCCATCTCACAGGATAGAGTAGCTGTGAGAATGAAATGGCATGAGGTATGTGGAGCAGCAGGCAAGGTGCCTGGCATTCAAGAGATAACGAATGGGCACTATCATTTACATAAGCGAGGGAGCCAGGCATGGCCGACCCATCCTCTGTGCCTCCCCCTTCTGGGCTCAGCTTCAGTGTATTCCCTGCTGATCACAGAGCCCCCAGCCCATCCCTTTACTCAGAACTACTGGACAGCACACTGCGTTTATGTGCCTCTTGTTTGTCATGTCCTGTGTCCATCCCAAAGTGCCATGTGCTTGCCCTGTGCATTGCTGAATCCACAATGCACCGAAAGCTACCTGGCAATTTACATCAAAGAAGGAATGAATGGAGGGATGGAGAAATAAATGAATGACTGTGCCCTCACTATACAGACCAAGAAGCACAGGTGGGAGAAGTGAAGTCCCGGTTGGAGCACACGCAGCAGGTGGACAGTGGCTCCAGCAGCATCAGCTCACCCCGGCTGTGTCAGCCAAAGCTTTCCAGGTTCGTAGAAGCTGCTTCTCTCTCTCTCTCTCTCTCTCTCTCTCTCTCTCTATATATATATATATATATATATATATATATATATATATGCGGTGATCACCCCTGGCACTCGGAACACACTGGTGGTTGGGGGGCAAGACTACGTCACCTCCTCTGTGCCAACGTGTTACGCCAGCCACACAGAAGATGAGGTGAGAATCCGCTTATTTTATGGATGAGGAAATTCGGTCTCCAAGAAGCGAAGTGGCCTGTTCCCACAAGGACAGCAAGGATGCAGGGATTCTAATCCATCCCTCATTCCTAAGCCCCAACTTGGCAGGGGTGTCATGTAATCAACAAACATTTATTTGTCACTGGCTGTGCCAAGACTGTCCTAGGACCCCTCTGCTCTCTGCTCTACACAGTCCGATAAACTGAAGCCAAGACAAGGCAAGCGGCTTGCTGTCACCCAGGACTCCCCGAGTGTTTGCAGAAATCTTAGCCAAGCTGATATGTAAAACACCCAAAGACCGCGGGCGGGCGCTTGGCTGCAGGGGGACAGGAAGCAGAGGGAAACATCGGGACCCCTCCATCCCGGGAAGAGACCCACGGCTGCCGGGGTTGGGGCGGCGGTGCCAGTCACCGACTCTCCAACGGCAGTCCCAAAGGCAGGGTGGACTGTTGAAGCTCGTCTATCCCAGATCTCCCAGGTGCGCGCATTCCTGCTACAGGAAGACCCTCTGCGTCGGCAGCGCTGACCCTGCCCCGGGGTTCCGCCCTTCCCAGCAATGTCAGGCCTTTCTTCTTGGCATCGATCGGCCTTGGAGTTTGCTAGGACTGAACCTCACCAGGCCTCTCTCTCCCACCCGCAAATGTTCTCGAGTGTTACGCAGCTCAAAGCCCCAAGCTGAGCAGACGCCGCGTCTCCGCGACGGCCCAGAGGGCGATGGCTGAGGAGTTCGTTTGGGACCAAGCAGCGGAGCAGAGGAATCGGGATCCTGGGCCAGAGTCGGCCCAGGAAGTCGCTAGGCTGGGCCTCCTCTGTGGGTCCGAGCGCAGGGCAGCCAGGCGGGCGTCTGGACCCATGCGGCTTTGAATCGGGCGGGCTACCTGGCTTTGAAGCCTATCACCGTTCAAGGTGATCACGACGTGCCGACCGGGTCTAGATTTTGAGTTCTGCAACAAATGCATTTTTAAAGGAAAAGGATACGCCCGCCCTTCTTCGGCAGTTCGTCTGGCCCAGGCCTTGGATCTGCTGAGTTTCTGATCGCGCGGCACGTCCAGGGTGCGGGTGGAGCAGAGCCGATGACTCCCCTCTCCTGCGCGTTCCCTTGAGACGTGGCCCCGCAACCTGCCCCTGCCAGCCGCAGAGTCAAGTGCTCTGCCGCCCGCGCGAGTGCGCCCCGGGGCTTCGCCGCTGCCTGGCGTCCCCTCCGTCCACCCCGGGCCCCGGACCATCACCGCGGCGGGGGGAGAAGCTCGGAGGCGCCATGCTGGGGCTCTGCACCGCCCGCCCTTCGGGTTCCTGGCTGCGCACGCACAAACCCGGTAGCTGGTTTCCGTTAGCCGCTGCCCCGACCCCGAAGGATGGGGGAAGGTCACCAGTTGACGCCACTGCCAAACTCTCAGCGCACTCCCGCCGGGAGTTCCCCCATCTCCCGGGGCTGTAGTCCGAATTTCAAACTCCTTCTAGAGCTTGGCTTCTGCTGAAGCGCAACTTCCGCGCCCAAACGTTTCTTTTCCGACGGGCGGTCCACGTCCAGAGCTCTTTCTGGTCTGCCCTTTCAGCCCCTCGCCCTCCCTTCCTCCCCGACCGGTCCCCTCCTCGGCTCTGGCCGCCCGCTGCGATCCTTTGGGGTCTGTGGCTGGGTGGGGAACCGCCGACTCACGATAGGAAACTCGCCTTTGCGGCCGCCGGGCGCACCCTGTGGCCTCTCTCGGCGCGGTCAGCAGGTCGCGGCGCGAAGCAGACTGGAGGGCGAGCCCTTCCGCGGCCCCACCTCTGCGGTCCAGTCCCCGGCACTCGGAATCGGAGGGGGGAGGGGCCGGGTGTTTCTCCGCGGGGGAGTGGGGAGGAAGCTGGGCGGGTGCGCGCGGTGCCCCGGAGCCTGGAACAGAGGAGGGCGCGTTGGTCTTGGGCGCCGCGCGGGCGGAGGGGGGTCGCACTGCCGCGGGGAGGGGAGGCGGGGCACCTGGGCTCGTCGGAAGGCTGGGGCCGGTGGCATTTGGCTGGGCGAGGGTGGAGGTGAAGCTCTGCGGTGGGGGGAGGAGGCTCCGGCCGGGGTCTCCACTCTAGGCCGGGGTGGGGGGCTCAGCGCGGCCGCCGGAGCGTTCAGCAGGGGGCGCTGCTCCGGGCGTTGGGCGGGGGTGGGGTGGGCCAGGAGGGGGGGCCGCGGCTGGCCGCGCACACTTCCCCCATTATTAAACACTATGTTCAAAAGGCGCCGGGGGACTTCCCGGAGCCACGGAGCCCGCGCCGCCCGCCCGCCCGGCCCACGGAGCCCATGGACCTGAGCGCCGCCGCCGCGCTGTGCCTCTGGCTGCTGAGCGCCTGCCGCCCCCGCGACGGGCTTGAAGCGGCCGCTGTGCTGCGAGCGGCGGGGGCTGGGCCGGTCTGGAGCCCGGGGGGCGGCAGCGGCGGCGGGCGGACTCTCGCCCTGGCTGCGGGCGCCGCGGCTGTCTCGGCCGCCGCGGTTCCCCGGGCCCGAGCCGCGCGCCGCGCCGCCGTCTCCGGCTTCAGGAACGGCTCGGTGGTACCGCACCACTTCATGATGTCGCTTTACCGTAGCCTGGCCGGGAGGGCTCTGGCCGGGGCAGCCGCTGTCTCCGCCTCGGGCCATGGACGCGCGGACACGATCACCGGCTTCACAGACCAGGCGACCCAAGGTACTTAACGCCTCCTCTGTGCCCGCCCATGCCGTCAGGTCCTGGGCTGAGACCAGCCCCGGAGCCGTGCGGCCGCTCCATTGTAATACATGTGCGGCCGGGGCCCCACGCGGCCCAGCCTCAGTTGATAGAAAGAAACTTCGCCGAGGCCAACATGCTCCAAGCCCGCTGCACTTGGACTGTGGCGAGAGTCGCGGCAGCTCCCGGGGCCCAGTCCCAGAGGGCCGACTGGTCCCTCTCCCAGGTCGCCCTGGCTTTGCAGGCCGGCGGGTCCCCTCGAGGAGGCAGGTTGAGGCCAAGATTCGCTTCTTGGGGAAGGGTCTGGAGTGGCATCGGGATCAGAGCCCTCGGTGAAGAAAGGAGGGCAAGAGTTGCGTTCCTGGGAGTCACACTGAGAGGGACTGCACAGTGGGAGGCTGATGGCTGCTTCTTTGCAGCAATTTCTGCAGCTCGCAGTCTCTTGGGGGCCACACGAACTGGGGGAAGCCCAGGGAAAACTGGGGCAGAGGCAAATATCAGACTAAAGTAAGTGGCCATGGAGAGGCTGGTGGCATCATCAGGTATGAGGAGTGCCCTGCTTAGCAGGTTGGTCTGGGTGGTGGTGGCTTGTGTGTGGGGGACATGTGCAGCTGTGGGTGCCTGTGTCTGGTGCTGGGCCCCGGGAGAGCCAGAAGTGAAGGATGCTGGTGGTGTCGGGAGGAGAGGCCTGCTGGGGATCTGCAGGAATGTAGGCCTCTCTTAGACCCAGCACCCCATCTTGTTCAGCCCTGGGCCCTCCAAAGGTAGGATGCGGGTGAGGCTGTGGTGTGGCTGCTGTGTGTCATCTGGATTTTATTAATCTCCATTGAAATCATTAAAGCAGACAGATAGAGAAAATTTAACCAATTTCAGGCGGAAATGCAAGTAATTTCGGCTTTAATTCTATCCAGCCAGAGACCCAGCATGGAGGGCAGGAGAGAAAAAAGGCGAATAGGGCCGGGAGGTGAGTGGGTGGGGCTGAGGCCACCAGGCTTGGGAGCCACGTACAGTCAGCACACCTCAGGTCCTAGCCTGGGAAGGCTGGCAGAGGCCATGAAGTGACCAGGTCACCCATCCGCACCAGCACATGCCCAGTGCCTAGCACAGACTGCTTTATTTTGGGTACCTGGAAATCCTGGTACGCAATCCCCCAATGGCCCTATGGTTCAGTTAGAACTATCGAGCCTTCTCTGAAGGCCTGACATGGCCCCTAGGCTGGATGCTGGGATACCCATAGGAAGCCCTAGTTCTGGTGCACATGGACAGGGAACGCTCCAGACTGAAGGGTGTCCCATAGGCTCCCAGGCTGCAGGAGATGGGGGTGTGCCGGGATCTAAGTGGACACAGGCACCAGAGTCTTCTTAAGGTCGAGCTAGATCTACCATGGTCTCAGAGATAAATCCTTTTCTGGGGAGCTCAGCTTGGCTGGCAGAGCCTGAGAGGCCTCCTCTCCCTCCTCCCTCTTGGGAGAAATGGAGTGGCAGGGCTAGGAACCAGGGAGAGGCAGAGGATCTGCAGAAAAACTCAGAGAAATTGCTCCCCTCGAGGCCCCAGCGCGCCTCTCCTTCCTTCCTCTCCATTCAGAGTCTTAATTTGGAGCCGGGCTGCTTGAGGTCCCCAGAGGCCATTGATAAGGATAGACCCCGGACCTCAGGTAACAGGGTCTGACGTTCGTGGCTGGTGAGCAAATCTCCAGTGGTGGGGGAGGTCTGCACAGTCTTTCCCAGTTTAGGGGCAAAACGAAACCATATGACTCCCTTCAAAGGGAGCTCCTTATCTGTTGAGTGGTGGAATTTTCATTTTTTTTTTTCTGAGCCCAAAAATAAAAAAAAATAAAAGAGTGGCCACACTGGAAATAAAACCCCTAAGCCCGAGATAAGTCACTACAGAGGGAAGACTAGCCCGCGAAGGGACAGACAGACGGCTCCTGGAAGGGAGGCTTCATTCTGGCCGCTGCCCTCACTACAGCAAGGTCATTCGGGGATGCCCCGCACCCCTCCGAGAGGTTCCTTGCGTTCTTTTGCCTCCGTTTCCCCTCCTTCGGAGGCCGCAGGAGCACCGAAGGAGGTGCGTTTGCGGTTGCGATCTCGGGCAGCAGCGCCCATTGCTGCGAGACCTGAGACCTCGGGCGATCCTGGCCCCTAGCTGGCCTCAGTTCCCCTTCGGCAGAGCGAGATTGGACTAGAGGCTCTCTGCGGCGGTGCAGACGAGTTCTCCTGGACAAATCGCCGCGCCCCGGCCTGCATGGGAGACCGTGGCCAGCGGGGATATTCAGGCTGGGTTGGGGGAACAGACGTAGCAGAAGAGTTTTCAGGAGACAAGAGTTTTCCGTTTTCGCACAGCCGGGCCTCTCGGCTCTGCCGGGAACGTCAGAGCAATAACTATAAGTCTCCGTAAGGCCCACGACCTCCGGAGCGGGTGCACGATTTCTTTTCACCCCAGTCCGAAAGTCTGATCTCGGATTCTGGCCCCGCAAACCCATGGCTCTGGGGCAGGCCGGGGAACTGCAGCTGCCTTCAGTCCTGGTCGGGGTGCAGGGGTGCGTTCCTGTTCCCGCGGCTCAGGGATATGCAGTGACCGTAGGTTGTCGGCGTGACTTTGGCTTGCTGAACTAAAGCCCGGTTCCGATAGCCTGGGCGAAGGCGTCCTCGGCTCTGGGCCAGGCTGGCATAGTTCAGGCTGGGGCAGAGACGTGGAGTCGGGCACTGGCTCGAACAGACCTTGATCCTACATCGAGGGCAGCTGGGCCATTTGCTTTTAGGAGGCCCCACGCCGACAGTGTTCAGGATTCGCTCTTACTCAGCTCTTTCTCTCTGTCCCTGCCGGTCCCCCGCAGACGAATCGGCAGCCGAAACAGGCCAGAGCTTCCTGTTCGAAGTATCCAGCCTTCCCGACGTAGACGAGGTGGTGGGTGCCGAGCTGCGCGTGCTGCGCCGCGGATCTCCAGAGCCGGGCCCAAGCAGCTCGACTTCCCCGCCTTTGCTGCTGCTGTCCACGTGCCCCGGCGCCGCCCGCGCGCCACGCCTGCTGTACTCGCGGGCAGCCGAGCCCCTGGTCGGTGAGCGCTGGGAGGTGTTCGACGTGGCGGACGCCGTGAGGCGCCACCGTCGTGAACCGCGCGCCCCTCGCGCGTTTTGCCTCTTGCTGCGCGCAGTGGCCGGCCCAGTGCGGAGCCCCTTGGCACTGCGGCTGCTGGGCTTCGGCTGGCCGGGCGGAGGGGGCTCGGCGGCAGAGGAGCGCGCGCTGCTAGTCGTCTCCTCCCGCTCGCAGAGGAAAGAAAGCCTGTTCCGGGAGATCCGCGCCCAGGCCCGCGCGCTCGGGGCCCTTCTGGGCGCAGAGCTGCCGCCCGACCCAAGACCTGGCACCGGGTCGCCAAGGGCAGTCATTGGTGGCCGCAGGCGGAGGAGGACAACCTTAGCCGGAACGCGGACAGCGCAGGGAAGCGGCGCGGGCGCGGGCCGGGGCCACGGGCGCAGGGGCCGGAGCCGCTGCAGCCGCAAGCCGCTGCACGTGGACTTCAAAGAGCTGGGCTGGGACGACTGGATCATCGCGCCGCTGGACTACGAGGCGTACCACTGCGAGGGCGTTTGCGACTTCCCTCTGCGCTCGCACCTCGAGCCCACCAACCATGCCATCATTCAGACACTGCTCAACTCCATGGCGCCAGACGCGGCGCCGGCCTCCTGCTGTGTGCCCGCGCGCCTCAGCCCCATCAGCATCCTCTACATCGACGCTGCCAACAACGTCGTCTACAAGCAATACGAGGACATGGTGGTGGAGGCCTGCGGCTGCAGGTAGCGCGCGGGCCAGGGAGGGGGCAGCCGAGTGGCCGAGGATCCCCAGCTGAAGAGCAGCAGCGGGCCAGCCTGTCACCAAGCGTGGGTGCATGGCCGATGTGACTCAGCGCCCTCGCGGAGGAGGAAGAGCACACGTTCACACTCACACACTCGTGCGGTCACGCACACATTTACCGTGGACAGCATCTGAAAGCCTTGGGAAGAGATGACCTGCCGGTACCGAATGTCAAAGCTTGTGCATTTTGCAAACAGATAACCATGGCGCCCACTGCCCCTACTTGGGGAGAGGAAGGTGTTTGTGCTGATATTGCAGTAACAGGCACGAAAATCAGGTAGAAACGGGTTAGGAAATTGGGGGCTCCAGAATGGGAGAACCAAAGGGGTATTCCAGTATGCTTTATCTCACTCCTTTTTGCTTCTGGCCAGTGTGGACATTGCTCCGCCCGGTGGCTGGGCGGGCGCTGCGTGGTGCACTCCGTGACCAACTTCAAGGCCGTAGTGTCGGTTCCCAGGGGTGGTGTTGCATGGGGCCGTTTACTCTGGAAAGGAACTGCTGCAAAAGCATCTTTTTTTTTTTTTTCTTTTTTAACTTTTAAAATTTGACATGCCCCTATTTGAATTTTGAAAGGGAAGTTTTGTCTGAAAGGATGTGGAACTTCCCAGATTTCTGCAAAAATCGGTACTGCCCCCACCCCCCACTTTTTAAATCAATTCTAATTGTAAATGTTCTGGAAAGTGGAAAGGACATTTTTCTTTTTGTAGGAAAGTGAAATGGGGGAGGGGTTTAAACGGCTGAGTCTGATCTAACAGGCTATTGGGATGGGGTAGGCTCTGCCAGGTTGGAAGCTCCCCAGCTGGCCAGGGAGATGGTAGCCATGCCTTGGGGTAGCTCAGGAGAAAGTGCAATGGCCCGGAACCAGGAAGGTGGGGCCGGGGGAGGGGAGCTACTGCTTTTCCCAAACCAGCCAGGTGGTTTTCCTAAGAAGCCCATGAAGACACTCTTAGGGCTTGAGAGGCAGGGAGGCGTCCTGGGGCCCACTCCAGCCGAGGACTCCGGCTGTCAGCCAGGTAGGTGCACGCTCCCAGGCGCCGACTGGACTCCTGCTAGTGCTAGCTATCAAGTCGGCCTCTGCTTTTACCTGTCTTCATTGTGTTGTTGCTGTAGTTTTTGGCAGAGAAGTGAAGCCACACAAAAGTGTTCTTGTCAGATTTCAACTCCCAACCCCGACCTTCAGAGCAGGAGGAAGGTCTGCCCCCTCCCCTCATCAGCTCCCTGGCTTGGCTGCTGTGCCCTTCGAAGGGCCGGGCCTTGGTGTGGGGGAGCAGAGGTGGAAGCCCATCCCCTAGTGCCCATGTTTTGCCCCAAAGAGTCTTATCGATGGAAGGATTTTCTAGGCATGTACAAGTGAGTTCAAACATTCAGCCTTCACTGTTTGATTTGTTTATGCTTGGGAATCCTTTGTGGCTTTTTGTCCATAGGTTGGAGGAGGGAAGAGAAACCAGTTGGATTCCACCTGTCTGGGGCTCCGAGGGCTCTTAGAAAAGCCCCGCAGCCCTCCCGGCCCCTCTGCCTGATGCTGTGCAGGACTTTCCCCTTCAGAGTCCTGGGGAGCATGAATTCCACCCTGTGTCAGATGCAGGACAATTCATACACATTTTGATTCTCAGTGATTACACTCTTGAGAGAGAGAAGACAAGCTTACGATTTAGATACAGCTAATTTACTTAAGGGCCCCCACCTGAATCAGTTTTCATCCTGTAAAATTCTCCCAAAAGAAAAAAAATTGCACGTGTAAATTTCTCTTAAAATGAAGATGTTCCCCCTCCTATTATGTGAATTTATATTATGTGGCTGTATGAGTAGATATCAATAACCAGAAAATGAACAGTCTCTTCAGGTTAAAAATTTTTTAAACATCCAAAAGTGGCTGCACTGGTACAATTCCATCTTATTTTAGTGACTGGGCAAAGATGGTCCCTAAATTTGTGAATTTTGCCAGAGACATCTCACTTTTGTTTTCTAAACAAAGCCTGTCATAATGAAGAACTATTTTTTAAAAAATACTAAAGTGTTAAAAGTTGTAGGAGTAAAAGGTTTAGAAAGAAGTTAATGACAGAGTGCAGTTAAATGTTATTTTGAAGATATTCTAGGGTATTCGGTTTGCATAAAAGCAAACATTTTGATACTTTTTTTAGTGACTAGGAAAAACCCTTTTTTGGGAAGAAATGTCTTGATTTAGCCTGACCTTTTCATGGTAGGGAAAAAAACCTGTCAGTTTCCTCTTTCCCTCTGATGACCTCCTTCTAATGAGATGTGTTGTGAGTGGTGTGGGAAATAGGTGTCTTCCAGCATCTTGAGTTCCGGTGGTGCCCAGGGGAAGAGAGTTGTCCTTGGACAGTGACGGTTCCTCCCACGGCCCCATACCCTCAGTATGCTCTTTGTTTACTGGATAAAAGGAATGCTTCCCAGATTGCCTCTGGAGCAGGTGAAACTCCCTGGGCCACCCTGCCCAACCCTTTGGCATCTCAGCCCATTCACTAGGTGAATGCAGAGGATGCATTTCACTTTGTAAAAATGACAGCAAAGGGCCAATACATGTTGGGCAGATGGCCTTTTGCTGCTAAGATGTGGTTCAACTAGCATTGCCAAGATGTGGAGAAAAGGATTCTGTTAGCACAGTTGGTAGTAGCACTCCGAGCTCTCTGTCTGTCTTTTAGGTAGTGGGGGACAGGTCCGAGTGACCGGCATGAACCCAGCTTCTCTGCTGTAATCCCTGGCTGGAATCTCTAGTCACCATGGATGGGAGAACCGACAGGCAGGGAAAAAGCATGTCAAGACTGTGAATAAAGGCCATCCCCTGTCCTCTCAACCCCAAACCTGAGGTCAGCAAAGTCTCCCTCCTAAAGTAAATAGAATTTTCCATTTTGTTGGGAGGCCGAGGTGGGCCAATCACCTAAGGTCAGGAGTTCAAGACTAGCCTGACCAACATGGAGAAGCCCTATCTCTACTAAAAATACATAATTAGCCAGGCATGGTGGTGCATGCCTGTAATCCCAGCTACTCAGGAGGCTGAGGCAGGAGAATTGCTTGAACCTGGGAGGCTGAGGTTGCAGTGAGCCGAGATCGGGCCATTGCACTCCAGCCTGGGCAACAAGAGCAAAACTCCATCTCAATAAAAATAAATAAATAAATAAAAAATAAATTTTTACATTTTGTTGAGAGAATTGTGCACTACTAGCTGACATCATTTGAACCACTATTTCCCGCTAGTGAGTAGGATTTGGCATCCCTGCTTAGGGAGCTTGGGGCAGGGCAGCTGGGGCCCAAGCAGGGCTGGTGCTGGGTCTGCCAAACATGAAGACAGTTTGGTTAGTGCTGCTTGAAGCTAGGGCTTTGGTATGAAGGGGGATCACCCACACTGGCAGGTGGGCATTTCCACTGATGCCCAAACACTTGCCTTGTTGATTTCTGACTTTCCAAGCAGCTGCGCTGGGTCTTCCAGGGAAGGTGGCTGGCTTTGCCGTCTTAGCTTGAGGAAGCCAGGCTTGAGCTGTGCTCATTCATTGTATCCATGCGTCCCTTCACCATACCCTCCTGGCAACGATACAAGGTATGGATTGTGTGATAGGAGAATCCAGACTCCACGAAGCCCAGGGCAGTCACTTCTCCCTGGCAGCTTTCATGGTGTCGGCGGGAGTGGGTACTGAAAAGAGTACCGAAAATCCTTTGGATGCAACAGGAAGGAGTGTAATTCAATCCCTACACGTGGTATACGCTGTCGCAATTTCATTCAGACTCACAGCAGAAAACAACTAGGGTTTGTAGACTGATTTTCTTCTTAGAGCAGGTAGAAAAAGTGCGTTCTTTCCAAGAGCAGCTTGTGCACAGATAAGGTCAGACTCTTTCTGTGCTTGAGTCTGCCTCCAGGAAGTCCAGTGGAAGGAAGAGACCATCTTGCGGCTGCCTCTGGGTGCACAGAATTACGGGGCCTCACTGATTCACATGAGAACCTGTCATCTCAGGGAGACAGACCTCCCCTGGCCCTCACTGGGCCGTAGGCCAGGAGGCCTGAGTTAGACCGCACAGTGGGCTGGAGGGAGCGAGGCTCTGAGGCTCTGAACGCAGCAGTCTAGCGGAGGGAGCTTGGGCCTGCGCTTGCCACTCAGAAAGTGTGTGATTGGGAAGGGAAGAGAGGAAGCTGACAAGAGAATCTGGCAGCCAAACCTTGGGTGAGTGGAAAGTAACTAGATCCCTCTGGGGGATGGTGTATCTGAGCTGCACCAGAGTCAGAGCCCACTGTGGGCTTTGAGTGCCCAGGGGCAGCTGCTCCCATGGCGTGGCCTGCGCCCACCTCAGGGGAGGCTGTTCAGGGCCCAGGGCACCATAGGCATCTCCTAAGAGAGGGCTGAGGCAAGTTATGGGCATTCATCTCCCTGCCTGAGCTTCATCTTCTGCCCTGTAAAATGACGCCCTCTCTAGTCCCAAGGTTCTAGGATTTTGTCTTGCCCCCAGTTCCACTCAGACAGCTTGTAGGCAGAGCAAACGCAATGGCTCCTGGAGAAGGTTCCCTCCCAATCCCAGTTCCAGAGCCGCCTCTTACATGTTTCGCAGCTCTTGCCTGTGCGTGTGCATGTGTGTGCATGTGTCCATTTTACTGATATCCTCAGTAGGTGCCTCGTGGATGTGCTTTCAATTCCCTGCGGGCTGAGGCAGGTGCAGGGAAGGCCGAGGCCGGCACCTCGAGGGTGGGGTTCAGCTACCCAGAGCCAGGAGCTGGCTGAGGGCACTGCCCACCCAGCTGCAGTTCCACCTGTGCTCAGTGGGGTGGGCAGAGCCACACTTAGGCTGAGGCTGCCTGAGAGACCTAGTGATGGGAAGGGCTCTACCTGCTGCTGGGGCTCCTGCAGGCAGAAGAGGAAAGGCAAGGCTAGGTCTGGTTGGTCACCCAGACGGGGGCTTGGGACCATCCCAGAAGCCCTGGATGAGGCAGGCAGCACTGTCCTAGGGTGGACTTCTTGGGTCCCCACCCTGTCCTCACCACCATGCCCATGTCTGGGTCTGAGGTCCCCTTGCAGCTTCCCACGGGAGTAAGCCTGGGGCAGCGTCAGAAGAGCTTGTCTCTCTTCCTTTTTATGGCCTGGAAAATGGTGGGAGTGTTTAACATAAAGAAGCACCAGAAGGGAGGACCCCAAAAGATGTTTATTTCCAAGTTTTCAGACAGCCTGGCATCTTACATCTGAAGCCTCCTGACCATGTAGGCTAGAGCAGAGCTGTCTTCCTCCCTCTGTGCCCACAGCTTAGTACATCACAAATAGGAACCCAGAGTGAGGCTGTGGTGAGAGAAGCCTGTTCTTTTCAGGAGGGCCACTGTCCTAGCCCGAGGAGACACCTG